AAAAATAAAAATGTAGATTTATTGTATATTATTGTTGATCGGCTATTAGCATGACTGAAATGCTCAACAATTACTTTTCGCGGTGGGCGGTATGAGTAGCTTAAAGCTTTGGCTCTTACTGAAACCAAGAGTGCAACACGATTAACCTTTTTAAAGTCCATGAAATAATTTAAATTGATAGGTTAACTTAAACTTTTCCAGTTATTGGGGATGGGTGCTTTTGCTAGATTAATTTAAACTTTTCCAGTCACTGGGGACGGGTATTTTTGCTTGTTCCACATAAATTCGATGACGAAATTCACTTTCAAGAAGATCCTTATCACGGTATAATGAAAAAGATGTTAAATTAATTTAATTAAACACAACTGAAGACGATTCAGCGTTTCGTAAAGTGTGGAGAACGAATGTAAAGGAAAATATTAAAATCTACATATAATACCTAAAATTTCATATTTGTCATTTTGTGTTGATTTACAAGGTTTTAACATTGCAGGGGGGTTAAAATTGTATACGGATGACTTTTGCATTGGTTTTTGAAGTGGACAGCATTTCGTTATCTGTGTTGAAGCTTTCTTTATGTCCGAAACGTCGCAATGATTGGTAATCTAACTTTTTATTCATATGTACAGAGTCACAGTGATGACTTTGTAACAGTCATCGTGATGGCTAAGTTACAGTCATGGTGATTACTATGTTAAAGACACAATGATGACCGTGTTACAGTCATAGTGATTAATGTATTAAAAACACAGTGATAGTCATGTTACAGTAACAGTGATGACCATGTTACACTAACAATGGTGACTATGTTAAAGACACAGTTAAGACTATTATGGTAACGGTAATAACCATATTAAAGACACATTTATGACTATCTTATAGTCATGGTAAGGATAATCTTAAAGACACAGTAATGACTGTGTTACAGTCACCGTAATAAACACATCAAAGACTGTGTAATGACAATGTTAACGTTAGAGAAATACTTGGCTCAAAGGCACAGTAGTGATTATGTTCAGTCACAATAATGACCATATCACAGACATGGTGATAACTTTGTTAAACACACAGTGATGACTCTTACAGTCATAATAATGACCATGTTGCAATCAGACTGATGACTATGTTAAAGTCACAGTAATAACCATGTCAAAGACACAGTCAATAAGTTCAAATCTTTCAGTCTACAATTAGTTTTGAAGAAGGACGGTAATCCGAAAAATTAACTATAATCAATATAAATATGATAGTACTGTCTGTTGTATGTCCATGAAGCTACTTCGTAGGTTTGGATGGATCCTCACCAAATTTGGTGTGGAAGTTCATTGGATCCATGGGGAGAAAAATATAGATTTTCAGTTTTGCATATTGTGTTTTGCGGTTTTTATAGTCATTTTTGGTGTTTTTTACAATTATTATAAGGGAAGCAACTTTTCATGTCTTTAGATAACCTTTCATTAATCAATAATTTACATAACTTCCGTCCAGGGGATGAGTACTCCAGCTAGTAATGAATATGTTTTTTGTTGTTGTTTTTGTCAGGAATATTTAATCGATTTTTTTTAATCTTTTGTACCAACTTTTATTGCCAAAATGGTTTCTGTCAACTGTTTAACTGTAAAGAGCA